CCCCAACTCAGGGATGAATGGCTGGATAGTGGAATGACACCTGTCTAAAAGTACTCTAAGGCTCAACTTGCCCAACTCTTCTCCAATGATATGATATATGCTTTGTTTGAATATGGATTTGTTTCAAAAGAGAGCTGTAGAGACTGGAAAATGGTAACATTTGATTCCAATTCTTTACTGAGGTCTGACAAGCTTACTGTGCATAATATTAAAATTAGAGATTACATGGAATATAAAAACAAATATCACAGGAAAGAAACTTTAGTTTTCTAATGTCTTGTCAGGAGAGTTAAAAGACTGCAATAAACTTCAGAGGGTTTAATGAAAATCTTTTGTGACTGAAGCTGTGTTGAATAGGACCTGCTGCTCTGGGAAACCTTCAATTGATTTTATTTCCTGTTATATGTACCAGCTTTGAACTGAACTCTTGGATTGTAGCTCCTGAAACATGGCACACCAGATGCTGGAACACCAGATTGTGCTCCTAAAGCTTCTGAAACAAATGTAGGGTGTTTCACACTTCTGCACTGAACCTTTAATACAAAGAACTTCAAGTAAGGAATAACATTTAATCTTGCTGTTAAAATGATAAATATAAATATAAGTCTTAAACCAGCTTCAAAAAACACCTTTCTCAGAACTCATGGATTTAAAAAACTCTCGAGATAATTTTGGACAATTGCCCTTTCTGTATTGGCAACAATTTCTAGAATGAATTTCTCAATTCTCATTCCCCCTTTTAATCTCCCATCTGACTCTTGGTGCCTCTTCAGAGCTCCACTGACTTCAGTGAGGCATGAAATTGAGAAAGAATTGCAGTGAAGTCTGCCTAAAACAGAATTGCAACTGTTTGTGCCAAGCCATAGGGTGACCAAACTCTGAATAGTCAAAAGAAATTCTCCACAACTGAAAATAGAAAAAAACTTGATCTGAAAAAGCTTTTGAAAGTTTGAATGTTTATAGTTAAGTAGGTAAAGTGAACAGTATTTTGGTTTCTTCAAACTGTTTGACAGTGTAGGGTAAAAATATCTAATGTCAACCATAATAAAGTATCATGGGGCAACTGAACGAAAAATATAAAGTTTTTATAAGGCCACACAACTACCATCCCTTTACCATAATTGGCAAACACAGGTTTTGGAGGTTTTTTTGGTTTTTTTCTCTCTCAACCTGTACTTCCCTAAGAGATAGGATGAACAAAACTGAAATGGTGAATAACAGAACTGTAGTCCAGAGAGCCCATGTAAGGAGTCACATTTACCACAAAAATCTAATTCTGTGGCATGTCTTGAAATTATTTGTTCACTGGCAACAGGGAAGGCAAATAATCTACTGTATCATGTCAATAAGTTTAGTAATGCTAATAAAAAGGTTTTGAAGCATGACTACTACTTGCATTGGGTAGGGCTATTGACCTCACTGGGTCTAATTCAATGAAGTGCTTCAGTGAATGAGTAAGAATTGCAAAACAGAGCCACTTGTTAGATTAAAAAATGGGGTATTTTGCAATGTTCCTTTTTTTTTTCCCAACTGAGTAGCATTACAAGTTCTCATCTGGGCCTGCATAAATCTCAGGCTTCTGGAAGCACTGAAAAATTACATTGCAAGAACAATAAGCAATAACTTTTAACTTTTGTGTGAAATGACTTCATAATTTCCTGTTCTGGGACTGACATTTCATCATTAAACATAGGTTAAAGCTACGTCTGTTTTGTTCAGTTTTTTCACTAATAATAACAATAACAATAATAATAATAATAATAATAATATTTGTCTACCTGGTTAAATATCAATTGTCTTAATGTTTCAGATGTTTGTGGTGGAGAATTCCTTGTCTGAATCAATGTGGTGACGGCACAGAGGAGGAACAGATGGCACAGAGCTGCCCCTGCTCCATTCATCGTGTCCAATGGAAACCATGCTGATTCTCAGCAAATGACAGAGCTCAACAAATTAATCAGCCTGACTGGCAAAGGTCTTGGAAAAGTAAACTGAAATCTGCCTTACATGACTCTAGAAGGTGCATGGCTATGGATCATATTGCTGCTGAAACAAGTCAGTAGAGAAATGCCCCACAAAAGAGATTTTGCCTCTACCTTGTGGTTGTAAAGTGGTTTTTTAGCCTTTGGCTTGGCTGAGTTGTTCTATTGGCATCAGTGGGTCTAGCTATCTAAGCTTTTTTATTTAAGGTGTAAGAATTGCAGGTTTGACTTTATGAGAAATTTCCACATAAGAGTGTAGTAATGACATGAACCTTGTAATTGCCAGAAGATAGAGCAGAAGCCACTCTGGGCTCTCTTGTGCTTGCTGCTGGATTTTTGAAACAGGCTCTTAGTTGCTATATGTTTATTCTTTTTGTATTTGTGTGATTTTTTTGAATTCATGTTGGTTTTATCTGATTATGACATTCTAGTCAGATTTATTTTATTTTTGTATCAGAAGATAAGGACAGAACTGTATCAATTGTGCAATTTATGAAGCCTTAATCCTTGAAAGGAGATAAAGGTCATAAGTTCTACAACTGTCCTCAGGTTAAGTACAAATTCCTAACCAGATTTGTGTATCATATATCAATCAGACACTTGTATCAGACAGAAAATCCCACAATTTCCTGCTGCTACGAGTACTCAAAGCTTGTTGACACCCAGATACAGTCAGAAAACTGGTTCTGGTAATATTGCCTAAGAAACCAGGCTGACAGCATCTTTAAATGCTTAAGGTTTTCAAGCATCGTCTTGTCATCTTACTGTGCCCCATGAAGAGCAAGGAGGTGCAGAGGTGTCAGAAGCAGCTGTGCCAGCCCCAGGGCTCTGCAGGGGCTGTGTGGACCTGCCAGACACAGAGGAGCCCTGCCTGTTGTGCCATGCCCTGCCCTGTTGCAACACTGGTTGCATGTGTCCCCCTGTGCCATGGCTCTGAGTTGCTCTAGATTATTCTCTGACCAATATCAAACCATTTTGTGTATCCTTCAAGCTGTGCAAGGGCAGTTGAAAGCATCTTTCAGTATCAGTTTTATTTCCAGGTGTAGTGGCATATCCCTACTCAATCCCACCTATGTATTGCTAGATAGGGTGTAAAGAAAAAAACACAGATGGGGGTTCTTCCATGTAAGGATTTAGGGAATTTAGTCTATAGCTGGTGCTGGTGAAATGTGGATGACTCAAAAGACACCCTGGGGGTGACTGACCAGCTGATGGGCTGATGGCTGGTACTTGCTCTTGCTTTGTTGTTGGGGTGTCTCCCCATTTGTTCATGAAGTCTTCTACATATCCAAGGCAGGAATTGCCTCCAACATCCATGTGTCCACATTCATCAAATATAAGTCATCAATGGTACACAGAATTTAAGAGATGGATTTCTGTTTTAAGGGAAATTATTGTGAGAACAAAAAAGTTGGTTTTTACAGTGTGCTCCATTACCATCATGCTCTGCTGCCAATTTAAACACTCCTAGAATCTTGGATTTTAACAGAGGAATAGTTTTGGATTCCCAGTTTCTTCAGCTCTTGTTTGACATGGATATTTGTCCATTCAAAACAAGCATAAACCTGGTGCCTTTGTTTAGACCCTTATTGTTTCATATATGTAAATGGGAATCTGTCAGGAACTGAAATTATCAAGGTCCTGCCATTAGATTGCAAGGCCATTTCACAACACTGCTGTAAGTAACTGTACTCTGGAATGAGCAGGAATCCTATTAAACCCTTGCAGCTTTTGACATGACAGTCTTCTAGGGTGAGCTCTCATGCTTTCTTGCAACATTTATTATTATTTTTTTTATTGGTAGATAATGCAGTACTGCTATTATAAATGGGGACACTGTGAAGCCAGTGTTGTTATTTTAAATGGGGACATTGTGACCACTACAATGACACTGCATGTCTGACTGGGCCAAAAGTCTAATAGAGTGTTTTGTCCCCATTTCTTGAGAACACCAGCAGAGTTCAGCCTTTTAACCTGTCTTATATAACAAGGGAATTTTTACTAGAAAAGTGATTTTTTTCAAACACTGTGAGACTACTTTGACAGAGCCCTACCCCTCTCCGTTCTCTCTGCTCTGTTGCTAAACCTTGGCTAATTAAACTGCATATATTTTACTTCACTTTTGCACCATACTCCTCAGCAATTTGTCTCAGAGCATTTAAAAAGGACTTTTCTCCTAATTTCAGTGTGAGTTAGCAAAAATGCAATGGTGTTAACAGGATGATGGCAAAGCAAGGAATAAAACCTAGAACCTGGGGATTCATAACCTAGAACCTGGAAATCCATTGATGGTTTTCCTACAGATTTATAGTAATTGTAGTCACATCTTGGAAATTTTACTAGCATTTTTGTAGAACATGGTGTGTGGTCTGCTGGTAATCTTAGAAAGTCAACATTTTCTTGTGAAAGTATGAAAAATGACCAGTACCCAAGCCACTTGAGAAGTGCACATACAATCTTAGTAGGATAGGTGTCCCCTGCAGTTAAATACACACAGTTCTTGTACAGCACAGCAGATGATTTCCTTCCATTTCCCAGAACAATAAAAAAAAAAAAAAAATAGGATATTACTGGTGGTGCTTTTGGTATTGCAAAGCAGACAATTATTGAGTTCCTCCTCCAGTGTCCAGCACAGATCCTCATACATTTCAGTAATAGATTTAGATGCAGGTAACAGGTTACATGACTGATATATGTATACAAGTCTGAGTAATAGATGAGATGGCTTTGAGTAAGATAGAGTTCTGAAGGGCACAATGATTTCTGGTTGTTATTTTTTCTGGCTTGATTTGGGTTTTTTGTTTGGTTGGTTTTTTGGCTTTTTTTCCTGCTTATTTTTTGGTTTGGGGGTTTGCAGGGTTGGTTGTTTGTTTTTTTGTTTGTTTTGGGGGAGCTTGGGCAGGTTTCATGGGGGCTGTTGTTGTTGTTGGGGTTTTTTTTGTTTGGTTGGTTTTGGGGTTTTTTTTCTGTTTAAAGATAATTTTTGTGTATTTGTTCGTCCCTTCTATAAATCTTTTCCTCTGAATAGGATCAGGGTAGGAATTTTAGTAGGCCTCTAGTGGTATCTGTTTTGTGAGCCTTGGCTTTTAGTTCATGGTTAACAGATATCCAAATGGGCAGCTCTTCTCTGAGTTTATTTTTTTAATTGCTTATTTAAATGAGGTATTTTTTAAAATTCTATTTGTTTGTTATCTTAAATAATATAGACATTGAAAACTAAAATTTCCATAACACATTTAACTTGCTATTTTATTCATGTAAGGACCCTGGTAATTTCATGGGTCTTGAAACAGATAAGTATAGACCTAGAGCCTTTGCATTATCTGAACTGTTGTTTTAACTGGAGATTCCACTTCCCTCATGAGCTTAATTGGGGAGGAAAAAAGACAGATATGATATGTTAATTTTATTGCTTTGTGCCTTGAAAGGTGCAGAGCCTGTTGGGAAGAGCAGCTGGCAGAGGGGCTGGCTGGGACAGGGGAAGCTGCTAAGGGGAGCAGCCCTACTCTGGTGAGTGTCCTTGTCTATATCACACCAGGGGGAAGATGATCAGTGGCTGACTGAGCAGATGGCATGTTTTACAGGAGTTTGGTTTGCTGTGACAATCAAGGACACAAATCCCAAATGAAGAAAGCTCCTGGATGGGAGAGGGTTGCCAAGTGCAGAGAGAATTCCTTGCATTACCTTGTTCCATTTATCAGCAGCCCACAAGGGATAGGTGTGCAGGAGATGTTACCAACCATTCTTCCTGCAGGCTTATCCTCACCTCAGTCTCCTTTTTTCTTTGCAAATATGAACTCTTAGCCACTTAAGACGAACAATCCATTTTGCCACTATATTTGACATTATTATATTCACAATTCATTTCTCAGTGAGCTATACTTACAGATGCCTTAATGAAACCTAAGCAAAACTGATTATACAGAAATGAGGTATCTTCTTGCCTAGGAAAAGCACCAAAAAGATAAAACTTTAAAAAATCTGATTTCTAATGGTGAATCTAGTAAAACTGTGAGTCAAAAAATTTTGGTGTTTTACTGCTTCTGTGTCATTTTAATCAGCTAAGGGGTATTTTCTTCCCCCAAAATACTACAGTCTTATTAATTTAAGTTTAGATCACTCTTAAGCAAGACCCAGAAGTTTTCTAGTATATTGATGATATCTCACTTTGCAAATACTTCAAAGAAGAAAATGTATTTTAGCAACTTAATATGTGTGTAAGATAAGTTTTCAAAACCAACACAGTGTATTTCCATGTGTATTTTCACAGTGGTTTGTTTAACATTTCATCTCCTGCATTCCATGTACTCAAGTTCTAGGCTGCTCTTTCTGTATATAACTTACACTTCATTGCCAGGATGCCATAGCAATTTTTTCTAATTAAAGAACTTCATGTGTTTTTATTCTCCCAGCCTTTTCTTCAAACTGTTTTTCAAAATTGATATTATAATACAGATTTCCTTTAATCTGTCTCCACACTAATTTGAATTACTTTGGGAGGAAGAGATTCTATTAAATGCTACCAGAGAGGTTTCAACATTTACTTTTTGTCACTAAAATCTGAAGCACGAGAATTTGAGTCAACAAAGACTGTATATGCATTTTTACAATTAAAAACCTTTTTTCATAAAAGAAAGGATGTATGTTAGTTGTCCTAGTAGTTTCACATGTGATTGAAGCCTAACTTGTTTTAAAACTAAATTAATCAGCTTTATAAAAATCCATTTCCCATTCATTGTAACAGCATGCCATTTATCCTACTACTGCCAAACTGAGTTTAAAGGGACAGTTCACTCTAGTGAATACTTGGGCACGTTCTGTAGTATCTATCTCTAGATAAATTTTCATTTTATTACTAAAATGCTTTCCATTTCTTTGCAGGTATAATGCTGTGTCTGTCATGCTACTCATATAAGAAGAGATTAAAAGAAATTTTTTGAAGCGTTTCTCTGCTTTACTCAGGGCAGTACTACTGGTTTTCAGCTAAAATACTCTTAAAATGATCCATGTAATTGTACAGATTACACTGTTACAATTTTCAAAACATTTCGGCAGTTTCTGTGGAGTGACCTCGCTCTACACGGAGCGTAAGTCGGAGAAAAGAAACAAAGTTTCTCCCTTGGAGGTATTTAAGAGGTAATGTATCTTTAAGTGTCTCCGCCTCTGAATCCTCCCACTTCTTGATAGCTGCAGCAGCCTTGTTGACTCACAGGAGCCGTGTTCATGCAAGAGCCAGCAAGGAGCAGTAATTTCCAGAGATTTTAACAGCACACCTCCTGCCATGTATTTCACATTCTAGCTTGCTGGGGCTGAAGCTGTATGAAAGAAAGTTTTATGTTTTGAAGAGATTGCAAAAGATAGTTCCTCCTCTCATCCTGGAAAATCCTGACAGACCAGTTGGATACCTTTCAGGCCTTAACCAAGAACTTTATCTTCTCATCCCACTGTCTTTTTTACAGTAGAAAGACCCGAGACACCCTTAAGAACTGAGAATCTGACTAATTTAAACAGATGGCTAATCCCAGTGCTGTGTGCAATGGACATCTACATCATCACAATCATCAGAAACAGAATAACCTCTTAAAAAGTGGAATATCCAAGAAAAATGGAATCACTAAAGGAATGAAGGTAAGGTTTAATTGTTTACCCTAATTGCCTCAATATTGAAAACAAATAAGTAGTTGCAACATTACTTATTAAGCTATTTTTATGATCATCTTAGTGTCCATTGAACAGCTTGTATGGATTAGGCTTGTGTGTGAATTTGTAATCTTGGGACCTTACGCTGCTTTTGCCTCTCCTAAACTGCAGAGAGAGTTGGGAGTGCTCATGCAAATGCTGTTGATCCCATGGACTGACTTTGTGTCTAGTTCATATCAAACACAACAAACACAAGTAGTAACTTCCTTCTGAAGCTTAACTGGTGGTGGACTTGACTTTGCAATGTATTAATCTCTAGGGGAAAGCTGTTCTGTCAGCTTCAAGTGTGTGTGTGGTAATTTTTAAAGTGTGATTTGTTGCTGTACAAATATAACAACAGATGTACGTAGGCAGGCAAAGCTGCTTTTTCATGATGTTTACATTTATGCAGGGATGGCGTAGCTGATCCCCACACTTTGCTGATGCCTGCTATCCAGCCTTGGACTGCTTAAAATCCAAGCTTAAACTCCAAGCCAGTTTACTTTCTGTTTTCTTAGGCTGTTCTCTTTGAAGCAGCACTTCTCACATACATGAATGTTTGTAGAACTGTTGGCATGTAACATCCTGAAGAATGAACAAATCTAAAAGTATGCTTCTACAAAAAGAGCCCAAATCTTAAAGGCTGTCTCTCTGTGATACCTGTTCTGACTGGGAGCTTGCTGTCTGTCTTGGAATGTCCTAATTCTGGATCTTGATGTGATCATTAGGAGAAAGTCTTGTAGTGACTATAAGGCTGGCTTTACAGCACGGTGTGGTAGTGACGGGGGGATGGAGAAGGGTGCTTGTGGAGCCTGTGCACTCACCTAACCATCCCTGCTAGGTTAGGAAGCTTTGGACAAGGACTGTGGTGAGGGTTCTGCTGTTTTACAAATAAACTGCTATCTTTTATCTTTCTCTAAATGGGGCTCTCACACGCCTTAGCACTCTAATGAGAGCACGCCCAATGTCATGCTTAATGGTTGTCTGGCTTTAGGTGTCTCCCCTGGTATGAGTATTTCCCAATCACTGGCTTGTGTTGGATGAGGAAAGCAAAAAATCTTGCACAATGATTGAAAAAAGCCTTTCTTGGATTTGCTTCCAGAAACCTAATTCAGTATCCTCTTGTATATCACATACCCCTCCTTGTCATTTTGTACATTAGCTATTTGCCACAATGGGGTTCTAAGTCTTTGCTTTCCACTTGTGACAGATTTCAAGGACTAAGTTTTGCCATTCAGTTATTGCTAACCTGCTGCAAATAAGTAATTTTGAAATCCCAGAAGGGCATTAATTACGATTTCCTCCTTAATAAAAAAAGAGAAGTAAACAGGCAGAGAAGTAATGACTAATATTACTGAGCATGAGCAAAAAAAAGGAAATAAATATTGGTCTGAAAGGGGTAGCAAAGAAATGAAGGAAATTAGATGAACCTACAAGATTAGTGAAGTCTTACAAGCACCACATGGTCGAAGGAGAAAGTGTTTTACCCTGCTGTGTGACATCTGACAGTAGCACTGAGCCACTTGTAAATGCCATCCATGGCTGAGGGTAGTGGTGAGGAAGTGAAGGCTTAGAAAGTTCAGGAGGCTTATCAAAGGCAGATTTGGCAAGTCTGGGTCGAGCCCTGTGCTCACAATGACATACCATTTCTCCTTTCTTCCTGCTCCAAACACAGAAAGAAGGAAACAATAACATACAGGAGTCCTGAATGAACCAGGAATCTCACTCCTGGCAGGAATCTCCCCATTCCTGTCTGGTCTGTTTCCCCGCCCCAGCTGCCTCACCCTGTTCAGTGCTTATGCTTGATGCTATTTTACAGGAGCAGATTCTGTTCCTTCCTCCCTGTGTGTTTAGGAGCCTCACTGCTGGAGGTGTGTACTCACACTGGCCACTCCTCACTGGGGTGTGCTTCCCACTTTGCAAGCTGGGATCTGAGACGGGGAATATGGCAGCTTGGTGCACAAGGAGGCCTCCACAAGGCTTCCAGGTTTCTCTAAATTTCAGTCATTCTTCCTTCTTCCTCTTTTGCTCTTGCCCCCATTTCCCCTAACACTGACACACACATTTATGTACTTTACTGCCCATGCAGTAAATTAATTGACCATTAAACACCTTATATAGCAGAAATATAGTGCTGGTATATTCAGGGGATATGACTAGTGATTCTAGACTTGTGATAGTTCCAAAACTTTTGGGCTTAGTTACAGCTGTGCTACTTTGGAAGGAGGGGATGAGGGAGAGATGCTGTGGTTAGAGAGAGGCAACTATTGCAGAGACTGCAGTGAGTGAATGGCACAGTGAAGGCTTCTAGGCCTATGCAATTGTCTGACTGGAACATCAGGCTTTGCACCAATCAGCTCTATAAACCCTTTTTTTTTCCAAGGGAGCCCCCAGGAAGCACTGGCTTCAGGAAATGCTGGCTTTTGAAACACTGTTTGTGAAAACACTTGCTCAGGAACAATGTGTTTTGCATCTTAATGATGTAAGAACATTTTGTGTGTCTGTGCATGCTTAATAGAAATAGAGAAGCAATTCTGATACCCACAAACCCCCCTGGGTTTCTAAAGAAAAGATTTTGTTTAATGGGTTGGGAAAGGTAATTAGGGATGATCAAATGTGGGGGAGCAGGGAGGCTCTCTTTGCTTCTAGCAATCTGTGGCACGCCAAGGACAGAGAGGAGGTAGCTGAGTGATAAAGGAGCAGTGAAGCATCCTACCAGAAGAGAAGCTGTTGCTTTTGGGGAAGTGCTGGAGTGCTTTGGAGTGGGACTGCTTGTTCAGATAGCTTCTGTGACTGTTTTAAGTCAGGTTCACTCAATTCTAGCTGATAGCACAGACTCTCCATGTACTAATGGACATCAGGCTTAACCGTGTCCTCACAGCCATGCTGTAGCCTGGTATTGTTTGGAAGCTGGGCCATGGTAAGACCTAAACTTTGGGAGGTGGGTTGTGGACTAGGTCTTCCACTTTGTTCATGCTTTTAACAGAGGCAGATGCTTCATATTCTTCCAGAATCCATAGTCTGGACTTGCCTTTGCCCAAAGCACAATTCAGTACATAACCTGTTTATTTATGTAACTGTATTGGCCAGGAGAAGGTATTTTCCTAGCGATGGTTTCTTTGCTGTTCCATTGCTGTTGATTGGGTACCAATAATAGGGGACATTGTATTTTTACAACAATAAATATGTTTATCTACTACCATTTTTTCCCTATAAAACACATGTAACAGTTCAATTTCTTCAATAGATTATTCCCTTGGATGCTTTAGCCTCCAACACATTATAAAGCTATTTGTAAACTCATTATTTTTATGTTCTGCACTGAGAATGGCAGGGCTTGGAAGAAACATGTAGTCAACAAGACTATGGGCTTTTCCAAGGATTTCAAGCTCCTGTGTGAAAGCAAAAAAGAACCCAGGATGAGATCCAACACAGAAACATCTGCCCCACTTATCTGATGGCCCAAAAATGTGATAGTCTCCAACAATTGGAAGGTCCAAAATTCAGAAATTGGTTAAGTTTTGTCCTGTTACATCTGAATCTCCTCCTAGCTGTTCTACTTAGCTATTTGGTTCAATATTCCAGCATCCAGTCTCAGTCCTTTCCATGCTCCTGGCACCCTAGTTTCTTTCCTCTCTTTTCTGCTTTCCAATGTCATTTATTGCCTAATGACCATCTCAAAGGAAACATTGATTGTTTAGAAAGAGAGTCATGAAAGGAATATGCCATGCAACTGTTCTCATGGCAGTAAGTTTCTTTTATGTTGTAAAGGCCTCCTGTAATCTCTTTGCTCTCTCTTCACAAATGTGGGCAGCACTTCAAGTGCTTTTGCAAACCTGGTGTAAGTGGGGCATTTGAGATGAATACTCAATGTAAATGTTAAAGAGTCTGATAGGAACAGAAATAAACTCATTCCCACAATCAGAGTCAAGCAATAAGGGTTATTATTAATAAGGGAAGAGCAAGGAGAGATAGTTAAGGCTGATCAGGCCTTTCCAGCAGTTGTGCAGCCGTAATGATCTACCAACATAATAGGATTTTTTCTGAAATATCTTCATATTTTGATATTGATTTGGGTAAAACCAAATTGAAAGGGAACTTCATTGAGTCCAGCCTGTTTCACTTGGAGCAGCTCAGCATTTTGGGCATTTTTCATTGTTCATGTGTTCATGGAAAGTGCAATTGCAATTTTCCCTCAGGAAAAAGTTGAGATTTGGTTTTTAGTCAAATTCTCTGCCAATTACTGTACATGTTGCTTCAGCTGCACCACAGATATGATCTCCTCATCCTCAGCTCCGGCCTCCTTTTCTCCTCGGTTTCAAGGCTGAGAAATGTGTTGCTCTGCACCTGCCCTCACAGATGATAATCACAGGTCTCAGATCCACGCCCTTGTTTCTGTCATCTGCCCTGCTATGTGATGAGCTCAATGCATTGGAAGCAGGAAACACTGGGGACATCTTTCTGCAGCCGAGGTGTCACCACTGTGTGGGCACATGTAACAGTCTCTGACTCTTGTAGCAATGCTTTGAGCGTGTTGCATGAGACTTTACATGCAAGGCTGAGATTTTTCACATAGTTCAATATATAAGGTTGGTCTGAAGTCATTACCCTCTTAACACCTGGAAACCTCTAAATGCAGGTAATTAAATTTTGGAAGGTAAAGCCTTTACAGAAATAGCAGATAGTAATTTACTTTGGCTTGAAAGATTCAGCATGTCGGTTCTTTAAGGTCAGCCTCCTCTTAGCACAGTAACAGCTCATCCTTCTACTCATGAAAGCAATAAATATGTTGGGAGACTGGCTTAGCTACACACACATAACTCATGTCTGAGCTCCAGTGCAAAAATAAGCAGTATACAAGAGATAGAAACAATAATGGCCTTTGAAAGAGAAATTTTGAAACATTCTGGGGGCATCTTTGGTAAGCCAAAGATCTTCTGGAGTCAACA